AAGCCAAGCACACCTGAACACTTCCGGTTTGGTAGTGAAGGAAAATAAAGCTTTAGAAGATGTTTTGTGATGGTTTTACAAATGGCTTAAGTTTTTCTAGGAATTTATTGGCTGATTTCTTGTTCTAGTAGACTTTATTTCTTAGAAAAACAGGAAATCTCTGGTTAAATACTAATATTTCTTAGACCTTGCTTTAGTCCAACTTTTGCTATAAATTCTCACGAAAAAAAAACCAAGTTTTCCTAATCAAAACTTTTGCCAAATTGAATTTCTAACTTGAGTTATCTCCACCGCCACTAATTGCATTTATAATCAGCGATCATTCCAATTAAGACTTTCTATATATATTTCTTTCTGTATAGTTAGGTTCTTTATCTAAATGTTTATTTATTCAAATGAATTTAATTATTGCCAGCAGTTTGTTCAACAAATAGTTGAATGAATTTTCGTTGGGCTCACGTAAGCAAATTGTCAACAAATGGAATTATTTATTTTTTATTCTCTAAAGTAGAACGTGACCAGCTTATGGCTCATCGCCCAATTCCCAGCTGGGACTTGGGCTCAATGGTGTCATCAGCTCTTGCTTTTTTCTGTCTTCATAATTTTCTAGGCTGTGCCATCTTGCATATCAAATAGTTAAAGTTTCTTTTTAGCCTTTGTACCCCAAGGGGCCAACGGAGCGTATGAGTAACTTTAAAAATTTAAAAAAATAGGAGAAAGCCTATAAGAATAAAATATATAATCTATAACAAGTCCAATGGAATTTATTTGCAAGGCCATACAATTGCTTTTCCTTTAAAAAAAAATATAAAATAAATCAATTAATTCCCTCAATTTATGTGAAGAGGGTTTTTTCGTAGATAAGAGTGAAGGCAAACCAAATTGAATTTTGTATAAAACCGAACATATAATTCATAATAGATATATAAATGAATCATTTTTGCAATGTTTCAGAATTTTTAAATTGGTTTTTATCGGCGAGCCTTCACATGAATTATGCTTTTGCCTTTACATAAACCTTTCCCCCCCTGATATGTGCATACAATATAGAAAGAGAGACAGAGTTGTGGCTTTGCCTGGGTTTAATTATGCAAAGCCTGTTCATTATGGCCCATCTGATTGTGTTGGTAACTCACATTTAACTCAGATAAGAGCCTGTAATTTATGGCACATTCTCAGATACATATTCCCTTGACCCCAGGGCTCTGCACATAATTTCTGCCACGGGACTAAGCCCAGCAATTAGGTGAGCCCTCGGTTAGGTAAATTACCCTACATAAACTCTAGGGTCTATTTCCAAAGAGAGCCACTTGATTGGAAAAGAAATACTTGCGAGTGGCAATCGATAACCCACACACAACTGTTTCGGAGTGACATAGTGCGGTTTCCCTCAGCCATTTTCCCTCGGCAATTTCCAAACAATATATCAGAATAGTTGCCTTTTGCGGTTGCCAGCACGTGCCACAAACATTTCCCCTTCGTGATCCGTCGCCACTGATAAATGTTTGCGTTTTACAAAACTGTAATCAGCCAAGGTCATGGATTGATGCCACGCACAGTGGGGTATTACCGGTGGCAACCGTTTATGAAAACAGTCACGGCAATAAAAGCAAATAAATAATATAAATCAGCTAAATAAATTATGAGTGGAGTGTGTCTTGATGATAACTCGGGTTGAGTTACAGTTTAAGACCATAAATAAATCACTTTATTGTGTGAGCCATTAATTTGCCACCGAAATGTGACAGCCACAAATAGATCACATCACAGGTGAGGGTTGAGGTGTTGAGGAGCCTCATCAAAAGCCAGATGAGTGAAATGTGAATGGGAAAAGTTAGCTGAGCTATATATGAACATTTAATGGACATTGTGGGGGGCTTAAGTGACAGGCATTTAAGTCTAATGGGAGCTATGTGGTCAGGGGAATCCCAGAAAGCTCACTGAAATTAGGGTTTCAGGTGAGCTAAGAATAGGGAGTGTTTGAATATAGTTTTTGGGGAATATTTTAAAGAAACTAGGCGAGTTTAGTACCTTTAAATAGGTAGCAATATGATTTATATTTATTTTTCCAAGTCTTAAGAGGTTCTCAGCTTCAGAGCTCCCTTCCAGCTCACTTTCTCTGACACCTCCTCACATTACCTTCACTGATAGTCCACTTAAACTCTTACACTCAAAAGGTAGCCGGAAATCTTAATAAATGAAATGTCTTCTGGTTCAAATGGAAAGAAATCCGAGTAACTGTTTGCCTTCTGGCGAAGACCTAAAGTCCTGCTGTCCTGCTGTCCTTCGCTGTTTGCTCTTTTGCTTATTTATTTAAGTTCCGGCTCGAGTGAGCAGCTCCTCGCTGCTTATGTTGCTCTAAGGCCAAGACACACAGCTGGGCCAAGTTTTTCTCCGCCTTTTTCCCCGGCTCTCGTCTCCTGCATAACTCATTCGTTTTAATATTCTCCAGGCATTGTTCGTTCGCCCTCCGGTTACCATTTTGTTGTACCCGTAGCTTTATTCTTATTTTTGCGAGCGTACAACTGGGCCACCTGAGTATATACTATGCCCGAGTAAAATTCAAATAAAATTGCAGCAACCTGATGGCTGACAACCAGCAATTTAATTAAAATAATAAATTGCACGTAATTTGCTGCAGGCGATGCTGAAGGCTGGCTTTACGTGGTTGTAAATCGAAATAAATTAAAGCGAGTGACAAGCATCTTTTTTAGTGAGCATTTCTAGACTTTGTAGAGCGGATAAACAAAACCATTTGATTAAAAGACAACTCAATTCCAGCTGGCAAAACTCCCAGCGAACCAGAGTCTCTGCAATTGCATTAATTAGGGGGAGGAAATATTTTGAAAAACTTCCTCGCCGCAGGACAAGCGACAATTGTCAGCAGGAAACGGAAAGGGAGACTAAAGAGAACGAGAACGAGAGACGTTAGCTAATGAATTTTAATTACGTAAATAACTTACTCGGTCAGGACTCTCTGCTAAGGAGGCTTGGAAAGGCAGACGTCTTGGGCTTGAGCTTGACAAATTTAATCATATTTTTCCTGCCGGAAACGGAAATGATTCCGGGTTATGGCTCGGCAAATGCCAAATTATGAATGAATTAAGTACGAAGATGGCTTCTACACGTGCGGAGAGCCTGTTCCTGGCACCGTGTGTAATTGGGTGCGTGCTGCGTTTAGTGTCAGGCACTTTATACACGCGTTGCGTGTAGACACAGGTGCGAACTCACCTGCCTACCTGCCTGCCTCCTGCCTGCCTCCTCCTGTGGCTATTCAATTTAAGTGCTCGGAAGAGGGCCAAAAAAATATATGTATTTTTGCTGCGGCTGTCAGGTTTAATGAGCCGCATGCAAAATTTATTTAATAACCTTGCCACACATAATTCACTGCACTAAAACAGAGGCCACATAAATTTTCATTTTCCTCCGGTTTTTAGTTTCTAATTATAATTTATTGATGATGTTTTATGAGACAAAAACCAAACAAAGCTCAGATTTTAATTAGAAATTTAAACAAAAGAGCTTTGCTTTTTTTGTTTATTGTGAAATTCCCTGGCTGCAAATTTATTTAAACGATTTAAATAATTCCCAAACAAAACCCCAAAGGACTCCTAGAAATGTGAACAGCTGGCAGATTAATAAATCCAATTCAGCGTTAAATTTGCATTTTTTTGCAGCATCTCTCGAGTAAAAAACAAATAAACATTTTACGGTTTTGTGGGAATTTATTAAAAAAGCAGCCTTCATGCAAAATATATGAGATTTTTTTTTGGTAACCAGAGAAGCCAAGCGGCAGGCCCTAAAGCCAGAGAGAAGTAAATATGTTTTTTTATTTGCTGTAGAAACAAGACCATTTCAAAGTCGAATAATCCTTAAAGCATATGGATTGCGTAGGTCTCAATGCCGTTTCTAGTTTCAGATCAAGATATAGAGGAGATGGATGGATGTTCGATGATTTAATAGCAGGGCCGGAGCTAGCTGGGCAGCTATTAAAAGCTTAGCACTTGCCACTTGACAGCAACAACCTTGCCACACACACACACACACCACTAGCCCCCTTGGGCTGTAACCACCCACCTCCCCCTAAGAGCAACCTTGTGCCAAGCACAAACAACTATTTTTTAGCAACGGTTTCGGTTTCGGTATCGTTTTGGGTTTCGGTCTGCCTTATTGATAGTGTTTGGCTGGCATACCGAAAGCCTTACGTGTCAATTTATTATAACTTATTCAAGGCCGTTGGTTGCTTTCTTTTTTTCCTGTGCTTCTTTGTCGGTATCTGCGTGAAAAATGCCATAAAAAATGAATGCTGACCCGGGCAGGGAACTTGGTGGGGTACAGGAACATGCTCAATATATTTCTGTTTATTGCACATAGCCTTCCTGGGCTTCCTTCCTTCTTCCTTTCTTCGCGCAAAACTTGCGCTTCAAGTTTATTAGCAGGCCCCGAGTTCCCCCGTCCTGTGCCTCGTCCTTCTTGCCCTCTCCCTGTTATCCTTTGAGCCGAGCACTCTCTCTCTCTCTCTGGCGTAGAGCCAACAAATTCCGAAAATTCGCTCAGCTCGATTCAAAATCGATTGAGTAGCCCCAGGCGGGTGGATTTGGCCCCAACGGGGGAAATGGTATGGAATTCCAGTGCATGACAACCCCTTTGAAGTTAATTGCCTGAAAGCTGCAGCCGAAGTTTTTAAGAACTGTCGATGATGTGCCAAAAGCAAAAGTTCCTCCGACACATGATAGCTTTCTGGTCATAATAAAACCCATTTATATCGATTTATAAAGCTGATGGAGGGAGAGGTTTCTCTTTCAAAGAGAAAGTTATAAAACTGGCAGAGGGAGAATGTTGCCAAGTTTATTATTATTCACATAAGGTGATGATGGTTTCATTTAGTTAAGGGTGTTATCTTCCATCTCCCGATTCTTCCATAAATTTCTTATCAATTTTAATTTCTTATTTATAGAATTTATTCTCTTTACTCACATTTTACCTCTTTTTAATTACAGCAAAAGCCGCCACAAAAATCCAAGCCGTCTTTCGAGGCCACAAAGTGAGAGAAACCATGAAAAAGTCGGAAACCAAAACTGCGACCAACAATGGCAGCGCCGCCGGTGCAGCTCCATCGGCATCTGCCGCCGCCGAGGCAGCCGCCGCAGAGCCAACCAAAGCCGAACTCGAGGCTGAATTCGATCCTAACGACAAGGGTGAGTGAAAGTGCCAGCCAGGGACAAAGGACCTTTTAAAAGGTGCTCCTAGCCGTGGTCCATGATCTAATCAAGGGGGTTACACTTGACAAAAAACGGTTTAAAACTGGAAAAACTTAAAATATAGGATATAATTCCAGCCTTGGTCAAAGGAGGGATTTATATTGACATACTATTTGTAGAGATATATTTATAAACATTTTTTTAATAAGGTTTAATGTTTTTTAGTCCAATTTTAAAAGCACCTTTTTCTCCAAATTCGTCCCATATTTTTCGCAGTGAACTAAAGGTGTTGCACACGCAAAACAATGACAAGAACAAGGCGAAACTTTGTGCGCAAATCGTCTTTAGAGTTTTCCGCGCTGCAACGCCTCAGCCCAGCCCTCTGATCCCTGGAGAGTCCTGCGGCTGCCCCCTGCACACATTGTCTTCGAATCAGCGGGTTTCTGCACAACTTCGACTTTGAGCTGGGAGATACAAGCTGAAATTACATCTTTGGCTTGGTTGGGTACCCCACCCCAACCGGAATGCAAACTTTCCTTGTTACGCAATATATATTCAGCTGCGGGGCAACAAAAATATTTGTCACTTGGCAGCGACAACAGGGTAAACTTTGCCGCCTGGAAATAATGTTGGTCTCTCCCTTATTGAAGGAAGTGTGAAGGGCTTCTGGTGGGTGTCATTGCCATTGGTTATTTAATCGCTCCGGCCTGTCTGCTTCTCATAAATAATGAAAATCTTGAAACCGCCGCTGCTTAACCCTATTAAGACGCTTCAGGCGCTGACAGTTTTTAGCTATAATTTGCCCTGGGCACAATGACTGGAGGCCAGAGAGAAGAAGCAGAAGAAGCCGTAGTGGTAGTAGTCCCCGGCTCATTAAAAAGTCAGAGGCTGTCATCGGGGCGTATACGCAACCGCATTAGGGATTCTCTGGCAGACACACAGCCACAGAGCCACAGAGCCTCACGTGTGCGTCGTCGTCGTCGTCTCCGGCACTACTTTTCTATCTGCACTCCTCGTTCCGGACCCACTTGGCTTAATTATGGTGCTCCTCCTTCCTAGACAGCCATTCATACATACATTTGTGCCACGGCTAATTAGACTCGCCTGAGAACTCAAAGGACGATGTGAGCACGTGGAGGACCTGGCCTCTGTCTCTGTCTCCTTTGTGACCGAGCACATACTCAATTAGAGGCGTTGAAGGGAAGTGTCCTGAAAGAAGCTTTGGTGGTTTTATTTAAAACTTTAACCGAATAAATCGTTAGCAGGATTAGACCCTTTTCTCTGTTGATTAATTATAATTCCATAAATATTTGACTAACTTTTGATATCTCTTTAAAGTATAAATATTAAACTCTCTTTAAAATTGTTTATTTCAAAACGAAAACCGCTCTTGTTTCCACAAAATAAATCGTTATTTAACCAACATCGAAAGCACAACCGATTCATTCGGAACAAAACTCGTTAGAACTTCATCATTATTCACAGTTATCGCTCGCAGGCGGCCTGGCTAATGGTGTTGGCCTAGTTGTAAACTCACAGCCAGCACATATTGTAAAATTGCAAAGCTGAAAAAACAAGAAAACCGAAGCACACACACATATAGTATGTGTATGGTCGAGTGAAGGCAATTTCTGAGTCCAAAAACTGCTGCGATTTAGCCCATTTCGCATGCAAATGAGAGCAAACACAGGCACAAAAGGACACTAACTGTGCAAGGGGAAAATCGAAAGCCATTTAAGGATATTTTCTTGTACATGTGTAAGTGCAGTTTGCAGTTGGCCAGCCTGCCTGGCTTCATGCCCACGTTTTGGCCAAAAAGCAGCACAGAGACAGTCATGTTGTGGATGCACAGATAGAATCACCTACGCATTTTGGCCTAATGCCTTTGGTCCTGGCCAAATTTGTTTGTGTCTGCGGCCTGGCCTCCGATCTGTAGCTGTATCGGTTTGCATAATCAGGGCTTTACCCCCGCATAAACACACTAATTATTGTTTATGGCGGGGGCAGGACCAAAATCCCACCCCAAGGACTGCGGTAATTGAACTGCATCCGGCTGGTTTGTCTGGCCTTAATTGTTGGCGGATTCCATTTGATTATGATGAATTATGAACGTACATTAGGCTGTTGGTTTGTTTAATTTGTTAGGAATTCGATACATGTGGGTGAAAGCTTATTAAAAATCTAATTGGATTAGAGAAAATATGGGTTACAAATATAACTTTTAATGTTTGTAAAGCACCTAAACTTCCTGTAGCAAAATAGTCTAGAAGAACTTGTTTTTTATACAACTTCACCTAATGTTGTTTATATTTTCCCACTAAAGACCTAATCCCACTCATAAATAAAGACTTTCAAGTCCTACAAACATCTTGAAAGTATCACCAGGGGCAACCAGAATTTATGACAGATTTTTTAGGACTCGTTCGTGATGTCCTCCGGGCAGAAGCCACCTCTCTAACCCACAACTACATACAGGAACTGCGATAAAACAGCGTCGCAGCGTGCCCTGCTAATTGGATTTTCGGTTTTAAGCAAGCTTGTAATTCCATTTACACCGCCACGGGGAGACCCACAAAAAACCAACAAGAGCGACGGCCATGTCAGGCCAAGCCATTTAAGTATATTGTTAAGTGTGCTTCCCCCTCCCAGCAAGAACAAAAAGGCGGATCCAGAAAACATGCGACACGAAACACAAGAAAAAAAAATAAAGAAGAAACAAAAGGAGGTACAACAACATTGACATGAAACACGCAATAAGCAATGGCAGAGGCAAAGGCAAAGCTAAAACAATGTTTAGCCGCTGAATTGGCGATTTTTTACCTGGTCTTTACCCCCCCAAAAAACACAAACACTCATCTCTATGTACTATATAAAGTATATATAAAAGATATATATAAAGAGTCTCCACAAAGTGGGCTAAAATAGACAAGAAAATAATGTAGGAAGCAGCCTGGCTGGTCCCCTAATTTATATTGCCCACTGGCCACACAGTGTCCATGTGGGTTTCACCTGTCACCGTGTCACAGGGAGGGAGAGAAGCAGACGGGTCAGGTATTTATTTAGCTGCTGTTAAACGTTTAGCCCCGGCCCTGACGGCTTCTTAAATATTTCAACAATGTTGGCACCTTTTTCCAGAAATTCCTCAACTCCAAAGTCGACGTGTTTATTGAGGCTCCTTGGAAAATTCACTCGGTTAATATTTAATTGCCGATTTGCTTGGCTTGATTTGAACACACACCTTGGCCCGGGCTTAATTTAAACAATTTATGTGTACACACAGGTCACAAAATTAATAGGTGAATATTTCACGAATTCAAAAGTGTGTAACATTAATTTCAATTTCAATCCTTTGAATAATTAAAACATTGCCTTAATCCAGTTAAATACGGCCCGGGATTAACTTAAATTCGAGCAAACTTTTAATGAGTTTCAACACAGGACGAGGAGCACAAGCCGTAATCAGCTTTTGTGCAAAGGATTAATATTAATTAAAGTTTTTGTTTGATTTTCTAGCCAACCAAAGGCCCCATCTGCTCTCGAACGGGCTTCAAAATAAATGAAACAGGTTTATTTAGAGTTTGTTTGCGAGCGTCACAAACAAATTTGCACACAAAATCTGCAGAAGAGAGAAACCGAACCCAATAAGTGCGACCACTGTTTGTCCTTGCAGCAGATTTATTTGCTCCAATAACAAGCCCCGAATGGAAATGGCCACGGGAAAACCCGAGAAACCGGAGAAACCCAAAGTAGGCAAAAACTGCACAAAACCACAAGACTTTGTTCTGACGGAAATTGAAAAATGGGCTTAGTCCTTATGGTTGTGCCAAGAAGCAAAAGTAGATGTTGGAACCAAAACGCAATCTTGGCAACCGCAAGAGCTTGCTACCCTCCACTCCCCTTGCTTTTGGCTTAAAAGTCCCATTTAGCAAACTTATTATCAAGCTTCATTTGTCACAATTTGTCTTTATTTCAAAAGCAGACCGGAAAAACATTCTCCCAGCGAAGGTAAACAGCCGTTAGTTCGGCCAAGTGACATTCCGGGCGGCCATTTTGTCCGCGATTTAAATCAAAATGGAGTCGCCGCTGGCAGATGCCTCTGCAGCCATGTTGCTGCTGATGATGGCATTGAAAGACTTCCATGGTAATCTGGTTTGGGTAATTAAAATGTATATTTACGACAGCCACTTAACATCGTAATTATGACAGCTGGCCGGCAGCTTTCAGCACACTATCTCTGGGAAGAAATATGAGGGAATGCGTAATAAATAAGCAAGTTTTTCAGGAGATTTAAGCCGATAAGTACTTGCATTTGCAGATATATTTTTGAGGCAGGACTTTGAGGTATTATCATTTATATTAAAATATAATGTTCAAGGATAGGTTATGCATTTCAAGGGATGTACATAAGGATAAATTAAATATATCATAGACTTTAAATTTTCTCTCTCTGCACAGCATCTGTTATTCCGCTTCACAGCAAAAACACCTTATTTCTGGCACCTTTTTGCTCATTATGTGCGTGTCTGGGACAATCCTTGTTTATTTTGTTTATTATTTCTGACACAATTACTAAGCACACGTCACAGATTTGTGCACTCTCGCTAATGGAAGCCACACACACCCTGACACCCCGCACACACTCTGGCCATGTTTCATAGCCAAGCATTGTTTTTATTTTCCCCTCTGTTTTAATATAAATTTGCATTGTTATGCAGAATGTGGGTCAAGAGCGCTGTATGCTGCTCACACACACACCTGAAGAGGAGGAGATGATACACGTGTGCTTATTCCCCCCTGTTTGTTGTTTTACTTGCTGTATTTTTCACCACTCAATATATGCAATAAAATGCCAGCGAAGGACAGGTGAAAAGTGCAGATGATGTGGCTTATGATTGAGTTTGTTCCGGGGCTCAAAGGAAGCTGCTTGCGAAAATAAAACGAAATTAAATGGAAAGAAATCCTTAGGGCAAAGGGAAAACTGCATGCAAATTAGGCAAAAGACCTGCCAGCGTGTTAGTCAGTCAATCAGTGCGACGTGACCCATTGCCTGAAGCTCTGCACATGCAAATCCCGGCAGGGAAAGGTGTGCCTGGGGTGGGGTAGATAGCCCCCAGGAAGTGGGCGGTGCATGTGCAAGGCCCGCCGAAGCAGTGACATTTTGCCAGCAAGCAAAGCAAACTCAATTTGTATGCCTTGCCATCAGGACAGAGATAGCAGTATGGAGGAGCCATGAGGGAAGTCATGAGGGGAGCCATGAGGGAAACCCTGAGAGGAACCAGGAGCGGTCCAAGCAACATGCATGCGGCCTGTGCTGACAAGTTTTCCGACACTGTAGCTTAGATTTTGGACTTGGGCGGGGTCCTGTGACAGGACACGCAGCGTACGTGATCGGCTTTTAACATGTGTTGCATGGCCAGCAACATGAACAATGTCTATGGCTCAAAAAACAGCAAGCAGAGAGAGAAAAACTAAGGGTTTTTACTAAGTAAATATGACTTTTTTGTGTGGAATTTATATAGAAACCAAATTCAGAAAACTTCTTTCTTCTTAAAAGAAAATTTATAGTAAATATAAAGCTCTAGATTTTTCTGTTATAAACAATTTAAATCCCTTGAAAACCCCTTTCTTTCAGTGCACATTCTGCTAGTTGCTTTCCAGAAAAATCCAACAAAAAACTCACAGCAAAAAAAGGGCTTCTAACTAAGAGGAAGTGTGCCTGGCAAAAAGTTTTTGAAAGAAATAGACACAAATTCTATTTGCGGAACGCCCGAGAGCCGCTTGATTACTGACCAGGCAGCAGCCGCAGCAGCTCAGCAGGGCTTAGCCGGGGCTAACTAGTTGCACGGACAGGACCTTCGCAAATGTCACAGCTCAGTCGTTGGTCTATTTGCACGTCTCGCAGATATTTTTAAATATTTTATAAATAAGCATAAATGCAAAAGCGGCAGCTGGAGAATGGCACGTGCCGCTTGGCCGGATCACGTTAAGTATACGCCGTGTGTGCGTAATTTGATAAAATAGCACATGCCAGGAAGCCGCTTCCGGTTGTTCCTACCAAATGCTTATCTTGGCCAAACTCCAATTACGTTTAGCGAATTAACGCAGACCTTTCCCATTCCTGGGCCAACTTGGCCCCTAGGCAAACGAGAGAAATTTCGCTGGGGAAATTGGCCAAGTTAAATATATGCAATTTTTTGTAGGAAAATCTCAACAAAGCGTTGGGGAAATGTAATCACCAGAGAAGAGATTTTTTTGTAATGAAAAATTCTCGCGGAATTTGCATAAATGCACAAAAGCAATGAGAAAAGATGAAGGAAATGGCAAGCCGACAGCCAAAGGAAACACGGGTTATCCTAAGACTCTTCCTACCAGCTCTGCATATATCTCGTAATTTAAATGTTGTTTCCTTAGCACACGTACTTTCTTTGCATTTTTACACAATTACGGGCTAATTAGAAAGGAGAGAGAGGAGCAAGATAATCAGACAAGGTGGCACGTAGCCACCGACGAGCACGCGTGACCACATGCATCCTGGCCAGCTGCGAGTGCTTCAAATGGAGCTTAATTTCGTGGTCAAGAACCAGCCAACCATCCATCCAGGCTCACCCAACTCACATCCGTATCAGCATCCGCACTCGCAGCTGGCGGTGGATTAAATATGCAGAAAATATGCGTTTCGCTGCGCCCACTCTGCGTATACTTAATGGGATTAGCAGGAAGACGTGGTCCTGTCAGGGTAGAAAAGAGAGAGAGAGAAGAGCGGAAACTAAGCATTCTGAATAGCGTTCTGGGAATAATTCATTTCGTGATTTCGATTATATTCCCCTTTTTTACAAGCTCTCTGGGTATTCTGGGTAAATTATTGGCCACAGCGGTGGTCAGTTGGGGGAATTTAATGCTGATTCAGCAAAGAACAAACTATGGGAATAAATAAAAACAAAGGTTAAATGTTCTAACAATCTCAGCCTGGACAAAGAACTAATTGAAAAAAGTTTTTAGCAAATGCTGGCAATTGTTTGAGTATCATCTAAACTTTCAATTAGCCCAAGAACACCAGACAAGTTTCCTTCTCTACATTTTATATATATTATATATATAGTTCTGTAGTTGTTTAGTTGTTCTCTTATTTTTTGGGGCGTTGGCCAAGTGGCCACTTAAGGGTAAACTACACAGAACACTAATTTAAACCCTTTTCTTTGCCCTCTCTCTTTCCTCCACAGAGCTGTGCCATGCCGCATTGAAGATTCAGTCGACATTCCGTGGCCACTTGGCACGCAAACTGGTGAACAAGGATGCGCCCGAGGACGAGGACATCCAGGAGATCACCAAGAAAGTGGCCGAGGAGCTGGACATTGATTTAACCGATCCCGAGCTTAACAAGGCGGCCACCAAGATCCAGGCCTCCTTCCGCGGCCACAAGACACGCCGGGAAGCCCAGCCGGAATAAGGAGTGGACCCAGCCGGTTGAATTTTGTTGGTCACAAGGCAGTCACAGAGATGAAGCTTAATTAAATGAAAGTAAAAATAAAATTAAAAAAGAAAATTTGGTAAATTGTAAATGTGTAAAAGGCCGATCGCGATGAGGGCACACAGTTGTAAACTTTTAAGTGAATGTGTTTTAACCTAAATGGCAAAACCGAAAACGAAATGATTCTCATAATAATTATATTAAATGTAATTTAACGAAAGTCGAGGGCAAAGTTAAGTATGATTTGCAAAGCTTTAATAAATTTAACATTCGAAAAAGTAATGATTCGAGATACGGAATTATTCTTTCGGCTTGTCTCCTTTTATTATTAAACTTTAGCAAAGTAAATTTCCGTTAATTAAAACCCAATTCAACTTAACTTTTGCTTTTCAGACTTTACCTATTAATCCCAAGGCAGTAACTAAAACTAAACTATAGTTACATTTTCAATGACAAACTTAATGTTACAAAAAGATAAATAAAAGGCACGATGTTCCATAAAATTTATTGTAGGAAAAACAAAAACCAAACAAAGACAAAAGATGCAAGGAAAATGCTGAACAATTTTTGGGAGATCATTTTTCCACTTTGTCTGGCCAAAGCCAAAAGTAAACAAGTAAAAATGAGTAAAATAAATAAAAAAGAAAATGTTAATTGTACCTACATGCGTATGAACATGAAGTAAAAACCAAAGAAACTCAATGTTGTTTCAGATTAAGGCAAATTAGGGGTACCCAAGCAACGTGAAGCAGCTTCGAGAACGTCAACTCAACAATTTTTCAGCCCTCGGGGCTCAGTATCTTTATAAAACTGATGAATAAATGAACTTGATGAAAACTAATCTGGTGGCACAATTTTTGTTTTTCTACCAAGTGTATTACATATTTGTCTACTTAACAATTGAAACACACACATTATATATATACATCTATATATATATATATATACAATACCTATACAAAAGGCAAAATGACAAAGATTAGAGCGAGTTGAATTGGAAAATATTTTTCATCGGCCACGGCCGAGAAAACTGTTACCACTAAACAAATATTTAAAATTCAAATCAATTAACTACAAAAATGAATAACAAGCTAAACGAAGATAATTGAAATTATATTAGAGATCAAAGTCAAATTCAAATAAATTGCATATAATTATTACATTTAAAGAGCTAACCGGGTAAAACCAATTATGTGTGGGTGAGCGAGCGGAAAATGTGAAAAACCAAACATGAAAGCAAGCCATATACAAGCCGAACAAGAACAAACCAAAACAGAGAATGTCCCAACTAAATTTTAATTGAGTAATAAAAATAAATACAATAAAAATGCAAATTTCTTTTATTAACATTATATGGGGTTTTTATATCCTTAAGGGGTATTGTGATTTTAGTCAGAAGCTTGAAACGTGGGGAAGGAGTCATTTCCGACCCTATAAGTCATATATATTCTTGATCAGCATTCAAAACCGAGTCGTTTAAAGCTATTTCTGGAAAAAAAAAATTTTTTAATTTTTTTAAAAATTGATAAGGGGTTACATCATCATTTTTCTCAAAATTTGGCCAAAATTTAAATTTTTAAAATGTATGCAGATTGATTAATACAATAAAAACTAGCACAAAACAGTTTTCCGATTGGAAATTAATGCATTTTTGGCTTAGTTATGATCGATTTACTCTTCTTACTTTAAGGCAAACTGCAAGGGTATGCAATCTTCGGCTTTCCTAAGCTTTACTTTTATTGTTCCTTTTAATTTTCCCACTTTACCCTATTAATCTGATCCTAATTATCTTCTAGACTTTCTAGCTCTATGGCATCATCATTATCATTTCGTGGCCAGTTTGGCATTAGTCCTTAACCATTTGCTACCACTCAGCAGTGCACAGGGCCAACATTTAACGATTTTTTGTTACTACCTCGAGAGAGAGAGCGAGAAAGCTCGGCTTCCTGCGGCGCTCCTGCCACTGTGTGGCTGTCAGTCGCCAAGGACATTTGCACATTTTAAAGGATGGCGGCGTGGTGATGTGATGGTGGTTGTGGTCCAAAAATACTCGAATCACAGCTGAATGTCTCAACGAGACGTGTGTGCGAGTGTGCGGGTTCCAGTGAAGTGAAGTCCTTCTTGTGTGCATTTTACTGATGGGTCAGGAGACCACTCACTTCAGGTGGTTAACGGAGCTGGGTTTCCGTGGCTCTGGACCCACTGTGCCACGACGACTGCTGACATGAACTTCAGTGACAGTTTTAGCACGAGAAATTTTCATGACAATGACGATGACTGCGATGGCGTTGATGTGGCTGACTCTGACAATACTTGACCTAGATGGGCCTCTGTAAATTTTGCAGTGGAGGTAAGTCCTCGGCACTTGAGACGTCAGGCGAGGACCAGTAGGGGGGACTTTCAGCGCATTATCCTCAAAGGCAACAAATATTTAAGTTTTCGCAGCGGCTCCGCAGCATCCTCAAGTCCCAAAGGGACGGAAAATTCTCTGCGAAATTCCACACAAATCCGCGGAGAGTGCATCATCAAAGTTGGACAAGTGTAGGTGTGACTTCCAAATTGAACTTGCCACCAAAAAGACTAAATAAGAGAGAGATACCGGCTGAAATTTGCATACCATTGCATGGTGCATGTCAATTGGGAGTCCCAATCCTGGGGCTCCCGCGCCCGCGGTGGCTCTAAAGTGCTCTGGAGCATTCAGTTAACTGCTTTTTCGGTTTTTCCCTCTCGCTTTTATTTTATTTTTCCTGCTCGTTTTTCCGTTCCCGTATTTTTTTTCTGTTCCTGGGTAGCTTCACGGCTCACAAATATTTCACTCGCTGAATTTATGCGTGTTGAAAGAGCGTAGCCATGCGGCTTGGCGGTGCAACATGGCGTATGCGCAATTTATGAGGCTTTCAAAACAAAGCGTTCTGTAAGTGAACAGTAACGGAGTATTGAGTGCCATGGAGGGCCAAGGAAACAAATGTACAGAATCTCGGACTAATGGTAGTTGTGATGGCTAAATTTATTCTGCTATCTCCTTCTGCAAAACAAGAACGGGCGGCTGTCAATCTCTTTGACAGCCTTTGGCAGCTCATTGGCTCATAAAATGTTCATTGAAGGAGGTTCCTTTCAGGTTTCCCAATGCCGCTGCACATTTATCGCACATTTGCAGTGCCGTTGCACACATCAACTTTCAATTTCGAAAAACCCCTTCCGAGCAGGGTGACACCACCCACCAAATCCGTGCCAAATAAGCAACAGCTTCCGAACGCCCATCCACCGGATGCCACACGTTCACTCCCACTCCCACTCCCTTCCCAAACCCAATCCTGCTTCTGCAGCTGCACTGCATCTGCTTTTGCTTTTCACACCTTTTGTGTGGATTCCAACCGCAAAATTTGCCAGAGTCGAGTCCTGGCCCACTCCGAGTCCTTTGAAATTGATAATGGTTACTATTATTGCCGCTCAGTTGCCATGAATTGCAGTGCGTGCGAATGGCTTTGGTTTTATGCAGATGCACTGCATCCTTATCGTTTCTGCGGGTGGAATTAATTTATTTATTTTACAGACTACTGAAATGTTTTAAAGGGAATAAAATGGTTAGAACTAAATTTAATAAATTGGTTGTCATGTTTTTTCCATAAAACAATTAGCTCGTTGTATATTTTTCCTTGTTTTATAATGACAACTGCTGGTTATGTGTACCCTTTTCAGGGCTTTATAATTCTAGTCAGAAGCTTAAAAAGCAGTGAAGTAATCATTTCCGACCCTATAAAGCATATATATTCTTGATCAGCATAAACAGGCGCGTCTTTCTAGACAACTCCGGAAGAAAATAATTTTTTTTTAATTTTTTTAAAATTTTATAAGGGGTTACATCATTAAAATTGTCAAAAAATTAAAAAAAAATTTGAATTTATTTAAAATTAAAATTTATTATGTAGCATTTTCAACCTTTTAAAAACTAACACAGAACAGTTTTCCGAATGGAAATTTATGCATTTTTGCCTTAGTTATGATCTATTTTCAATACGCTATTATGATCATTTTCGACTTACCTTTGTTAGTTCCTTCCTTGTTTCTATTGTTTATTGTTTTGCTTAATTTCCTTGTAGTTTAAAACTGGAGAATGTAAAAAGGCCTTCGATACATCGCAAAACAACAACAGCATTTAACCTTATCATGGACTAAAACATACATAAAGGTAAATATAAGCATATCAAGATCTGATAAGTCACAAGGTTCTACTTTGCCTGTCAATAGATATATTTACTGAGAAAGAAAAGCTTTCTAGTGCCACGCCCCTTGAGTATATCTTCAACAAGTAAGACGTGTCAATCGTGAATTTTCCCACCTTAAATTACATGTCATTTTATTTAATTAAAGGTCGGGGAATGGGGCACCTGCAGACAGGCCTTCATTTTCTATGGTCAATCAGCCAATCCACCTGTCTGTAATTACTTTCACTCAAACCAGAACCCGGGAAATTTAATTTACCGCTCTATTATCCAATTTGCACACGACAGACGGAAATTCACAGATAATAATAATAAAAACTAAAGCGGGCAGCAAAAATCGATGAACATACGAGAACACGTAGCGCCGTTTTGCGGATGTTTTGACAGGCAATCTTGATTATATTTTGTTGCACTGTTCTCGTTCTCCATGGAATTTATTTATTTTTGTGCTGCCGCCTGGCTGCATAAATGTAATAAAAACTGGTGTTGCTTTCAATGAACATTGACTGGTCAGCAAACATTTTGCTTTTCGATAGATGTGTTTATTTTTTCGTTGTGCTAAAAATAAAGTGCCATCAATGATTAATGAAAGTTCCTTGGGGGAAATATACATAGCGGAAAATCCTTTTTGAGCGTCAATATTTGAGGCACATCTTGAACTTTGTAAAAGTTTTGATTGAGGCACAAATTGATGTCCACTTCGGTGTGTATATGTATATATAAAGAAGGGTTATCCTTTAAAGATTTCTCCACTCTATTGTCCTGAATTATCGTTTTGTTTTGTGCAAAAGGATAAAGGGAAAACCCAGCTCAAACCCACTGAATGCCATTTAATTTTTCACATTTTTTTGCTGCGAGGTCCTTTGTGCCTGTAAATGTTATAAATTATGTTTATGCTCTGTGGGCTTTGCCAGACAAAGCCTAAAAATTAGGTGTCATTATATTTAATAGTCTCGGCTCACCTTTTTTTTTTAGTTATTAATGCTGTCGACATTAATGGGCTTTCGGGTTCATTAAGTCCGATTGCGGTTCATTGTCTGACTATATTTTATATACCTTTGTTAGAGCTAGTAACTGCTATGGAAATCATAGTCCGTCGGTAGAGTTTCACCCCACCTTGTGGCCCCCACTTTCCACTTATTGATTGGCCAAGGTCTCGGCCCTTCGAGGCTTCGATTGTCACACAACTGCCGCTCCAGAGGGAGCTGGCTGGGAAAGAAATGACAAATGATTGCGGCACCACACCTGTGGCCATGGAAAAGGGAAGCAATCTAAGGTATTCCTATACATATAGATTGTATGTTGGCCACAAACACGTTATCGGCCCCAGGCACACATGGCCATGATTGCTTTTACAGGTGAAGTCTGGGTTCTGAAGGATTTTGGTTTATAAAAAAGCATTGAAAAAATATGGTTTCTTAAATGGTTTGTTTGCCTTGTTTTATTTGTTGAATTTTATGTTTTAAATTATTAATGTTGTAAACTCCGCTCTTTTAATTATTTTATTTGATTATTTGGTTATCGGAAACAGGACATTTTTAATATTTATAATTGCTTTTCAGTTTCTGTTCTGTATAAAAAAAATCATAATTTAATTTTGAGTAAATTTGTTTTTAGGAAAGTCAGGTAATTTTAATATATAAATCAAACCATAGATCAATATGTTTAAAATGTATAAAATATATAATATATAGGCCAATAGGCGGTACGTAAAAGGGATATATTTTACGTACCGCCTATTGGCCTAGTTTTACAGTTAAAGACCCCCAAAAGATTCAAGGACTAGAGCTGCCATAACTTCTGGCTGTCTTCGGCGAGAAGTTCATTATAAAATATATATGGATATATATTTCCAACTGAGAAGTGGAATAGTTACGAAAACAACGCCCTCAGGACCCCAGTTTAAAATTTCAACAAAAACTCTTGCGTCAACGGTGGCGTATGCGTGATATGTGTCTGGCCAAAAACTTTGCCACACACAAACACAAAAATTTAGCCCTGGAAAGTTATATTTTTAAAAATGTAGAACAATAAACAGCGTAACATCAGTTGAGAAAGAGTTCGCTCAGTCGGTCGCCAAAATTGAGGGTGGAGAGCCGTACGCTGCTTCT